AAGGCCCCAGTGGCTGCGCTCCCGTGCGCCCACCGCACAAATTTCGGCACACCCCTCACACGTTTCGTGGCCCCATAAGATACCCACAATTGCGGTACTCGCAACTGCATCTGGTTGGGTCCTTCGCCAGGATAATTTAAATACGGGGCCCCTGGAAGTCCCAACCCTTTCCCCGGGACCGGTGTTTCATCCTGAGTCGTTTTGTTGACGGTCCCGAGGCCCGGCGAGGCCCCCCCGAGTCCGAAATTGGCCAAAAACCTCCCGCCCTGATGCTTGTCACGACGCGAGCGTGTCTGGGCACCCAGAGAGCCGGCCCAGCGTGGCCCCCCAAGACGGCTTCCGACGGCGTCACACGGGCCAGGGAGCGCTCCACGAAGACAGCCCGAGCGGCCCCCCAGAGGCCACTGCATGCGCCCCGCCGAGGCGGAAGAGGAAGAGGAGGAGAAGGGAGGAGGAGGAGGAGGAGGAGGAGGAGGAGGAGGAGGAGGAGGAGGAGGAGGGAGGAAGAGGAGGAGGGAGGAGAAGGGAGGAGGAGGAGGGAGGAGAAGGAGAAGGAGAAGGGAGGAGGAGGAGGAGGAGGAGGAGGAGAAGGGGAGGAGGGAGGAGGAGGAGGAGGAAGAGGAGGAGGAGGGAGGAGGAGGAGGGGGAGGAGGAGGAGGCCCCGCGGAGGCCCCGCCGGCGGCCCGGGCAGCCCCATGGGGCCCGCGGGCGGCCCGGCCGCCCACGCCGTGCTCTCGAGGCCGCGTAGCGCCGAGAGCCGAGGCCCTCCTGGCCCAGTCGCGCTCGCGGCGTCACGAAAATCGGGGCGGGAGGCTTTTGACCTTTTGTTCGGCCTCGCGGGGGCCCTCGCCGGGCCGACGCCGTGCTCTCGAGGCCACGCAGCGCCGAGAGCCGAGGCCCTCCTGGCCCAGACGCGCTCGCGGCGTCACGGAAATCGGGGCGGGAGGTGTTTGGGCCTTGTTCGGCCTCGCGGGGGCCCTCGCCGGGCCTCGCGGGAGCGTCCAAGAAGGACTCGGGACGAACAACTGGTCTCGGGGAAGGGGTCGGGACATCTTAGGGACACCGTCCTCCACAAAAAATCGGGACGTCGCATGTCTGGGGAGCAACGGCCGGAGCTGCTGCTCACCGTGTCGCCGCGGCGGTCCCGGCGGCACGCCATGCCGTGCCCTGCAGACGGATGGCGTGTCGCTCCGCTCCGCTCCGCGGGGCGGGAGGCTGGGAAATACTCGGGACGTGGAGGCCTAGGGACTGGGAGGTGGACAGCGTGCCGCGCCGAGCAAGGTAAGCCCGACCGTATCCAAAAAACACCCGACCGTAGCCAGGCAGGCTCGAACTGCATCGAATCGCGAAATAGTTCGGGGATATGCTGACCCGGGTCAATCCAAACACGGGTCAGTCGGCCCTAGCTTAGATCCTACGAGATCCAGGAGGAGTCTGCAGGCTCCTGCACGCCTGCCCGGGTCAATGCACCCCTGGCCCCGCAGGACCCCGCAAGATCCGGCGCTTTGGCTGACCCCCGTTCGCATTGATTCGGGTCGGGCGAAAGGGGGGGATAGCAAAGGGGGGGTTTGAGAATCAGCTCACGTAGCTGATTTTCCCGGCGCCTCCCAGCGCCGGGAGGCGCCCATATATCGAGGAATGGGGCCCCTCGGTGGGGCCGAAACCAGCTGCATGCAGCAAATTTCGTACCCCCCCCTTCCCCAATCCCCCCCTTTCGCCCGGCCCGATTGATCCCCACTGCCGAGGCGCCTGAATCGTAAAGGAGCGGAGTCGCAGGCCCGGCCGGCGAATCGCGCAGCATCGAATCGCATCGTGGGCGGCCATGCCACGGCCAGCCGAAGCCGCACGGGGCCACACCTGGCCAGAGCTATCCTGGGCCACCTCCTCCTCCTCTTCCTCCTCCTCCTCCTCCCTTCTCCTCCTCCTCCTCCTCCTCTTCCTCCTCCTCCTCCTCCTCCTCGTGGGCGCCGATTGGTGCAACTAGGGCGGTCGCCCACAGGTTCCACGCAAAAGAGGCTGAACCCAACACCGAACAACTCCGCGCCGCAAACCGTCGAGACGCTCTCGGACGCAGAGATGCGCACCCAAGCACCACGTATCCACCCCAACCGTATTGGACACTGGGGCGGCATAGACCAGAATGCATCGAGCGTACAACTCCTCCTGATCATCATCCTACCTTCCTCCCCTACATCCCTCGCCCCCACCCCATCCCTTGTTCACTCATCTGCCTCAAATTCACGATGCGCAAATCGGGGCCCACTGGGAAGATGAGGAGGAGAAGAGGGCAGAAGTGAGAGAGAGAGAGAGAGACATTGGGGAGGGGAAGGTCCAGCGCTGCTCGGCTTCCAGAGACGTGGATGTGCTGCTTCGTGCGACGTGAAGAGCCAAGCAGCTCCCCACTGCCAGCACGACAACCGCCTCCACCACGACCGCTGCCACCTCCGATGCGGCCACCACCACCACTCGTGCGAAGACCCGGAACACGGCCTCCACCAAG